AAATACTTGGAAGAATGTCTTACTACCAAATGCATCATTCTCGCTTCTATGAATTCTGAACTATAGAGAAAACATCAGGATATGGATCCAACTGCAATCATTGAACATCTTAAGAAGTNAAAGTCCATGTCTTTATGATATATGCAAATATGTTCTTATATTATTGCCTTTTCTTTTCTATATTTTAGATTTCTCAATATGTCTACTATATCACTACGTGGAATACTTGAGACCAACAAGTTGGTAGGACCAAACTTTGATGATTGGTACAGAAATTTGAGAATTGTTCTCATGCATGAAAAGCTTATTCATGTGATCGATAAGCCTGCCAAGGAAGTCCCAGATGAGAATGATGATGATGCCACCAAGATTTATCAGAAATACTTGGAAGAATGTCTTACTACCAAATGCATCATTCTCGCTTCTATGAATTCTGAACTATAGAGAAAACATCAGGATATGGATCCAACTGCAATCATTGAACATCTTAAGAAGTTGTTTGGTACACAAAGCAGGACAGCTAGATACCAGCTATCTAAGGCTTTATTTGGATCCAAATTAACTGGAAACTCTCCAGTTGGACCCTATGTCAATCGTATGATTGATCTTATTGAAGAACTTGAGAAATTGGGGTGCAAACTGGGTAAAGAGCTTTCTCAAGATTTGATCTTACAGTCACTATCAGAATCCTTTTCACAATTTGTTATTAATTTCAATATGAATAAAATGGATTGTGATCTTAGATGCTCAACAAGTTGATTGATTATGAGAATCAACTTGCATCTGAGAAGAAGAAAAGAATTGTCATGTTTGTTGGAAGCTCTTCTAAGAAGAAGGGTAAGAGTAAAATTAAACCCAAGAAGAAACCTATTGCGCCTAAGGGTGGTGTGACCAAACCCAAAGGAAAAAGAGGCAAAGCTGACCAATCTGACGCTGAATGTTTCTACTGTAAGAAGATAGGACATTGGAAGAGAAATTGCCTGGAGTATCTTACAACTCTAAATGATAAGAAACAAGGGGTTCCAAATAAGTAGAAGGTTGAAGAAAGGAGAAATTAATCTACAAGTTGGAAATGGTGCAAAAGTTGTGGCCATAGCTGTAGGGTTAATTTCTTTAATAATGCCTACGAGCAAAGTACTTATGTTGGATGATTGTTATTACGTTCCTAAATTTGTTTCGAACATAATTTCAGCTTCTATGTTAGATAAATGTGGTTTTCACATAAATATAGGCAATGGTATTTGCTCTATTTCTTATGGTGATAATTTATATGTGAGTGGCTATCTCCAACATGATGTTTATGTCTTACCTAATGTGAATTCTAATTCAATTATGCATGTTTCAAGTCTTAAGAGAAAAAGAGATGATCAAGTAAATCATACATACCTTTGGCATTGTAGGCTTGGTCACATTAGAGAGAAAATAATTAACAAGTTGTACAAGGAAGGGTACCTTGACAAATATGATTTTGAATCATATCTGACTTGTGAATCTTGTCTCAAAGGAAAAATGACCAAATCTTCATTTACTGGAAGTGGAGAAAGAACTACTGAATTATTGGGACTAATTCATACAGATGTTTGTGGGCCCATGAAAATTCAAGCTAGAGGTGAATATTCTTACTTCATCACTTTCACTGATGATATGTCAAGATATGGATTTGTGTATCTTATGAAACACAAATCTGAATCTTTTGAAATGTTCAAAAGGTTCCGTAGTGAAGTTGAAAAACAGACGGGTAAAAGTATCAAGGTACTAAGGTCTGATAGAGGTGGAGAATATCTTAGTGAAGATTTTACTAAGTATCTCAAAGAGACACTACAAAAAATAGCGTTTAGCGACGGCCGCATTCCGTCGCTAAATCAATGTATTCCGTCGCTAAAGTTGTTTAGCGACGGAATAGCGATAGATTCAAGTTGGTCCCTAAAATGCTCGTTTCTAGGCTTATAGCGACGGAAAACACCAATCCGTCGCAGAACTAGCGATGGATTAGCGACGACATGTTTCTGTAGCAAAGTTTAGCGAGGGAACTATCTGTCGCTATATAGCTTGTTTCTGTCGCTATTTTGACGCCTTTCGTTGCTGCAATACATAATAAAATTCGTCATTTGTTCTTATAGCGACGAAATTGTCCGTCGCTAGCCATGTTATAGCTAATTGTCCCTGCTTTTTGCAACAAAACCTTTTGTCGCCAATTCGTCGCAAAATTTAATTTTACGTGATAATTTTAGCTACGGAACGTATCCGTCGCTAATTTATTTTTACTATATTGCTGATTTTTAAAATTCTTTTTATTTATTATTTTAAATACACTCTGTTCAAGCATATTACATAAAAGCTATTAAATACACTTAATAAAAAGTCACTGATATTAATATAAATTAACAATATATTCAACAAGATCCAAAATATATAGCATAATGCATATAACAGTATCATTAAGTACACAATATCCACAAGGACCAACAATAATGTCCAAACAAAGTAAGTTAACTATGCTAGGCTGGAGAGCGGTCATCATCAGAACTCAATGCATGAACCTCATCAATGTTAGCAGCAGCAGAAGATGTTGGAACTGTAGGTGCCAGATCAGTATTTGGCTTATGCGAGGGTAAGGAAACTAATTCGCGTACCCGCTCAACGATTACAGGAACTATATGATCTATCAGTGTAGGAATCAATCGCATCACTAACTCATCCAGATACCCTGTCGGTGTTGATTGAGAATTTGGAGGTGTTGTTGACGATGTAGCATCAGATCCAAAAGAGCCATGAAGATTTGGCCCGTAGTAGCATTTTGCTTGCGATCCAAGACCATATACTCTTCTTTTCTTTTCTCCTCCCACGACTTGATAATATACTTTACACTGATCAATACCAGATTGAGTTTGTGTTTGTTGTTGTAATTTCTCCTGATATTTTTCCTGTATAAGAGTTAATAAGAACATTCAATCAAAATGAAAAAACTATATGAAAGTAAAGTCAATTAAAAAGTTATCTTACATGTACGATTCAGGGCAACAAAAGATGTTCCATCATTACCATGTGTATGGACGTGCAAATGCAACACACTTGGTGTTGGATCTCGACCCTTTTTAATAGCCTACACAAAAGTTATTCAATTAAGAAGATAGAGCAACTAAAGGGTATAGTTGGGCAATTAGGAACTAATAGCAACAATAATACTCTAGGAACAATCCATATTCTAGTTAGGGATTGCAACTATATGTGGAACTACATGGACGACAATTAACCAATGAAATTATTCCTGGTAGGACAAGCAACCAATGAAACTGACCATCAAATGACCCCATTGAGGAATTGCCAAAATAAGTATCAGTAATTCATTGAGAGATATCCAGAAAGCAGGCAAAATTCCAAAACACTAGAAAGGCCAAAATGATGTAGCTATTAGACTGAACCTATGCTGATAGAGTTGCAAAACATTGTTGTATAACTAGGCTAAGACCATTAAAAAAGAAAAGAGTTGGGTAAATAACTTTGTTCCTATGATGTATTTAGTAGAACAAGGGGATTATGTATGCTGATTATTATAGCCAAGAGGCACAGAATATGAAAAATGTATTTAAGAGGTTTAGCTAATCTTTTGTGCCTATTTATTTCAGTCACAGATGAAGAAGAGAAGCAAGGAAACATTGAAAAAGGCACATATGCATGCTAAAGCTAAAGTAAGGAAAACAGAACAACTAGAGAAGACCTGGAACATGGGTTCAGCTTCAGCAATAGTCATCAATGGAGAGAAACTAATACTTGCAAATATGGGTGAATACAAAGTAGTAGCATGCAAAGACGGCAAAGCTTTCGAAATCAACAGAAGGCAGAAACATACAACAAAGTCACATTGGTCACATAAATTATTTCCAGGTCACAACATGCAAAAACGGTTCTCTAAGGAAGACCTGGAAACATATGGAGCTTTGTATGAGAAATCTGGTTTCCAGACTGCATTGCAGGTTCCATATAGGTACAACAACAATCTATGTCTATTTGAGCCGTAAAGTCCCTTTTATGCCAGCTTTTTCTCTATTTCACACACAGTTGTTATATACAGCAGACCAACAAAGGATTTTATTTTGATGTCATTTACAACAGTGGTGAGGAAGAGGCAGACTTAAGAAAGGTGAGGATGGCTGCGCTACCTCGACCTCTACCTCGAGGCATATCTATAAAATAAATAAATAAAAGAAGGATATGAAACAATGCAAAGAGACACTATAAATTGATACAAAGAGACTATTTTAATGCTAGTAAGAGCACTATAAAAATAACCTGAGTAGTATAAAAATAAAGTGAGAATCTCTTCCAATTGCTCCTTTTCTTGGCCTGCAATGGGCTGCTCCAACTTAACCTGAGCAGTATAAAAATAAAGTGAGAATCTCTTGTATGAAAATATGTTTATGAGCTCTTATAAGAACAACAGAATAACTAAGTACATGGAAACAAATGAACCATTAACAGAAGCAAGAACAAACAAGTTCAACTATTAACAGCATAAATTTATTAGAATAAAACAGAATAACTTTAATTGAGGATGACTATTTTAATGCTAGTAATGGCACTATCAGATGTACAAACATTAAGAAAAATAAAGAATCAGATGTCCACTTTTTTACTAATATTAAAAAAACAATCAAAATGAAGAACATACAGAAATCTAAATAACAGAAAGTTAACCATAAGATTTCTTCAGTTAAATGACTAAGCCTTTCCTTGTTTAATAAGACATCAGAATGCTTTCTAAAATGAATAACAAGTTGACATCAGAATAAGCTGAGAATTACTAACACCCCAATCTTGGAATGAAAACAAATCTTGGAATGGCTCAGTTCCTTTCTTTGACCAAAATAAGAACCTTAAATAGACAAATGAAATGCTATATATTGATGATTACATAAGTAAAAAATGATACCAATTAGAATGCCCTAAAATGTAATTTATAAACTTTTCTGCACTCTCTTGCTTCATAGAAAAGTTGTCTAAATATATTAAATAAGAAAAGAGATCCCCACGGGACAGAAAAGTTGAGATTAGGCAGGCAAACTTGTTTCAAGGGAAAGGAATTAAGTATAAAGAGACAATAACCATTCTATAAAAACTTTGTTCTCTAATTATTTTCTTTAATTAAGAGTATGTAGCTGATTTGCAACTCGTAAAGTTCCAAATCAACATGTCTTCTGGACCTTTAGTTGCTGCTTAATAAAAAAAGCTAAATTCTAAAGTATATGCTAATAGCCTAATAATATACCTCCTTAAAAATTCCAATGAATGTCTTAGGTAAATATTCCAAAGTACTCAAGAAACGTATTTCAAAGTTGTCCGATATTTCATATCAAAAAAAGAAGAGAAAAATGATATACTAAATTAAACCAGCTGCTTTAATACAAACTTCCATCAAATTGCATATTATAAGGTCAAAATTGTTTCAAGATCCATATCTATAAAGCATAAAATAAAAAAGATGCTTAAAACACATTTCTTCAGTACTGATTCCAGACACCAAATATGCAGTTAACATAAGATTCTTATAAGATAAGCAACAAACTTTATACATATGCTTTTTTATAAACAAAACTCTAAATAAGTACAAGAGATTCCTTCTTGATAGCTGAACTTTTATTTCATTTACATATATAGGATCGGAAGAACTCATTATCCACATATATGTACAGTCTCAGATTCTTGATTCTCCTCTACAAGATAAAATCAAGGACTAAAAAGGTAAGTTTTAGACCTCAAATGGCAAAGGTCCCAAGTGTATGTACAGCACAGCCAGGGGTGGAAGGAGGTTTACGACCCCCTTTGCCAGAAAATTACATTATACATATAAGACAAAAAGTGGCTACTCTGTACCAGATGGTAGTTGGGAGACAGATGCTTTGCTACAATACATGGTGGTGAACAAGTGTTGGTAATATTTGTACTCATGATGGTGATCAGGTATTTGGATGCAAATGGAATCTGCTATGATTCTCAACTCATTGGCATGGGATCTAGCTAGAAGATGTAAAGAGAAAAACTACACATAAAAAAACAGTAATGCTATGAACATCACCCATATTAGAACTAGGAAAACTACTGAAATTACAAGAGCTTGTGTTGGTGCATGCAACAACACTCTAGGGCCCGAGCAGTACCCCTTGTAGTGAAGTTGAATCCACAGCAAAGGTCAATGACCATTGATCTTAGTTCCTCCATAGAGGTTTGAACAAAAATATTCAACTTAATGCTCAACCAAACAGTCTAGACAAACAGACTCAACCAAACAGTCTGGCCAAACAGACTCAACCAAACAGTCTGGCCAAACAGACTCAACCAATTATCACAAGCTTTTTAAAACACAGAGAGTCCAAGATAATGCCTCAAATCATATAAAAATTATAACATTCAAAGAACTCAGTCAAGAAAAACATAGGCAACACAAGATAATATACCAGGTCACAAGACAACATTTGAGATTGAAGCACTCATTTAGGCAATATGACATAAACAATCAGAACACTAGAAAATACTTCAGATTTCAAGTACTCTCAGTAAAGTAGTCTCAGTTAAGAGGCACATGGTACAAAAAATTATCTCACGATTTAGAATTTTCAGCTCAAAATACAGAGATGAACAAACAATTTAACCAACAGAACCCACAAACTCAACATTTCAGAAAATTTTAAGAAGTAAGAAAGTAATGAACAATAAAGAACATTCAGCACTTTCTACTAACAGAAAATTGAACCTCTCACTGACTTCAGTTTTAGAAAAGTTGAACAATGATTCTCGCCCAGATCCACAAGACAGGAATGAAATCACAAAGAAGCTTACCCTTTCGCCTGAGAATCTTGCGGAGCAGCAACATACGACTTCGAATAACCCTAGATTCACGCCCAATTTTTTGTATTTGAAGAAAACAATTCACATTATTAGAGAGTAGTGAAGGAGTCTCATAGAGAGGAGAGAAAGGGGGTGTTTGCCCTAATTGTTCGAAAGACTGTCTTTTAACAAGTTACCTATCTTTAGACAGAACATTACCGACGGAATTAGCGATGGATCGAATTCTGTCGCTCAAAATGACTAATGAAATTTTCGGAACTAGATTTTAGCAACAGATCTAGCGACGGAACAGAATTTTGTCGCTAATATTATCTAAATGAAGCTTTATCTTAAAGAAACTAGCGACGAAAATTTTGTCGCAATCACCTTTGTAATGTCTTGATAAATAAAATGAATGCAGCGACGGAGTTTTTGACGTTAAAGCCGTCGCTAGATTGTAATAAATTTTGTCGCCACACTTTCGTCGTTAATTTTGTAGGTAAAATAAGGCGGTAATATTTAGCGCCAATTTTAGCAATGAATATTAGGTTTTGTCGCGAATCCGTCGCTATATTTGATACAAATTCTTTTGATAGCTTATTTGGCGACAAAATACAAAATGCGTTGCTAATCCGTCATTATGTAGCTAGGGATTATCTCTTGTCGCTAAATTCCGTCGCTAAACGCTGTTTTTTTTGTAGTGAGAATGGGATTCTCTCATAGTGGACACCTCCAGTAACACCACAACATAATGGTGTGTCTGAAAGGAGAAATCGAACCTTATTAGATATGGTGAGATCTATGATGGGGTTCACTGATCTTCCAATAAATTTATGGGCATATGCTTTGGAAGCAGCAACATACTTACTAAATAAAGTTCACACTAAGTCAGTCTCTACAACACCATATGAGAAATGGAAAGGATGTAAGCCTAACCTTAAACATATTAAAGTTTGGGGTTGTCCAGCTTATGTTAAGAGATTGCAGTCTGATAGACTTGACTCAAGATCTGATAAGTGTAGGTTCATTGGGTACCCCAAGGAAACAATGAGATATTATTTCTATCACCCTTCTGACCATAAAGTGTTTGTGGACAGAGGAGCAACCTTTTTGGAAAGGGAATTTCTATTAGAAGAAAATTATAATGGAGAAATAGAACTTGATGAAGTTCAAAAAACTAATGAATAACACAATATAAAGATCATGAGACCCAAGTTGAAGAACCTTTATTGGATGTTTTGAAGTTGTCATATTCAATGGTTGAAGTTCAAGTACTAAATGAAGTTCAAGAACAGGTTAATTAATAAACCAGTTCCAAACCAAATTGATCAATAACCAAATCCAACACAAGGTGAAAAGGTTGTACACATACCTCTTAGAAGGTCTACACGAGAAAGTCATATACCAACTAGATTAAATTTATTGGTACAAGATGATGTATCAAATGAGGTTGATCATAATGATGATGACCCTAAGACATATGAAGAGGCTATACAAAGTTTCGATTATAAGAAGTGGCAGAAGGCCATGGAATCTGAAATGGAATCCATGAAGGAAAATAAAGTATGGACTTTAGTTGAACCTTCAAAGGATATAAAACCTATAGGTTGTAAATGGGTTTTTAAGAAAAAGATTGGAGCAGACGGAAAGGTGGAGACCTACAAAGCCCGTCTTGTTGCCAAGGGATATCGTCAGAAAGAAGGAGTCGACTATGACGAGACTTTCTCTCCCGCGGCAATGCTCAAATCTATTCGGATTTTGCTTGCTATAGCAGCATACTATAATTATGAAATATGACAAATGGATGTGAAAACAGCTTTCCTTAATGGTGAGCTAGAAGAGGATGTGTACATGACACAACCTGAAGGTTTCACATCTTCAACTGATCATAATAAAATTTGTAAGCTATAAAGATCCATTTATGGACTAAAGCAAGCTTCTCAAAGTTGGAATATTCGCTTTAACAAGACAATTGAAAAGTTCAATTTTGTTAAAAGCGAAGAAGAACCTTGTGTGTACAAAAAGGTTAGTGAGAGCACAATTATATTCTTAGTGTTATATGTTGATGATATATTGCTCATAAGGAATGACATACCAGCATTGCAAAGTACCAAGATTTGGCTATCTAAACAGTTCTCCATGAAAGACTTGGGAGAAACAGCTTATATATTAGGAATAAAGATCTATAGAGATAGATCTAGGAAGCTGCTTGGACTTTCCCAGTCTTTGTACATTGATACCATCTTAAAGAGGTATAATATGGATAATTCCAAAAGAGGCTATCTACCGATAGGCACTGGAATTACTCTCAGTAGGGAGGATTGTCCTAAAACACTTGAAGAGAGAGAACGCATGAGTATGATCCCATACGCTAGTGCAGTGGGAGCTATCATGTATACCATGACATGTACACATCCTGATGTGGCTTATGCACTTGAAGTGACTAGCCGTTATCAGGCAAATCCTGGTGAGGAACATTGGAAAGTGGTGAAAACCATTCTTAAGTACTTAAGAAGGACTAAAGACCAATTCCTCATTTATGAAGATTCTGAGTTGAAACTTGAAGGTTATACTGATGCAAGTTTCTCTTCAGATAGGGATGATAGCAAATCTATTTCTGGTTATGTATTTACCTTAAATAGTGGTGCAGTGAGTTGGAAAAGTTCCAAACAAGCTACAGTAGCTGATTCAGTAACTGAAGCAGAATATATAGCAGCTAGTGAGGCTGCTAAGGAAGCTGTATGGATGAAAAAGTTCTTAGCTGAACTTGGTGTGGTTCCTTTAATAGAAGGTGCGGTTCCACTATTGTGTGACAATACTGGAGCCATTGCTCAAGCAAAAGAACCAAGATCGCACCAAAAGTCCAAACACGTTCTGTGAAGGTATCACTTGATAAGAGAGATCATTGAACGTAGAGACGTGGAGATTCAAAAAGTTGATGGAAAGGAAAATGCAGCAGACCCATTCACTAAAGCTCTTGGTGCAAAGGATTTTGACAAGCACAAGTGGAAATTGGGGATGAAGTACAAGAGCGATTGGCTCTAGTGCAAGTGGGAGATTGTTAGGGATATAGTATATATGCCCTAGATCCAATATCATTGATGATTTGAACATATTTTTTATTTGATATAAAATATATATGACATTTGATATTCTTTTATCATAGCTATTATTAATTATTTGATTAACTTGATAAGGTCCTTGATTAAATTATTGAGATTTGACATTGTGATGGAGATCATGATAATGAGAGTCAAGTTTCTTATAATTTAATCTAAATTTTTTCTTAATCGTAAGATTATTAATTTGGACATTGGTAATCTGGTAAGATCAATATTTATGTGATCGTCTTTATTGGATAAAGATTAGTTGATCTCATTAACTAATTCACATAGATAGATGATGCATATAAAGATATGATCATTGAACCGACTCATTAGATAATTCCTAATGGTTAAATTACCATAAACTGTCAATAGGATATTCTCTTGAAGAATGTGATGTAAGAATTTCCTTTGACCTGAGATCGTCATAGTAATTGACAAGTTATTTATTATGCTTTGATACTAGACACCTATGGCCCTAGGGCGATAGTTGAAAGGATATTGGGTACGGTTAACTACTTGTAGAATTAGTGATTGATCCAAGATGGAATTTGTCAACTCTTGGTAATGAGTTTAAGCTTCATGTTGTCATGAATTATAAACGACCAAACTAAGATCTTGGCCAGGGCAATTGAATGAAAGAAGAAATTAGTTTCTTAGGTCATTCAATGGCCGATTATATTTGACATGAACACATAGTTGGTTGCCTATTTGGATTTGACAGTTGAACCATATCCTAGGGTGATCCAGAGCTATAACGACAGAAGGAATTACTACATTATTTTTCTACTGGTTCTTGAGAGTAAATTGTATACTTCATACTATCCGGTCATTAAGGAGTGTTGCTAGACGCCACCCTTGATTAGTATATTGATGTGATCAATTTACTACCGGTTTAGTAATGAACCTATGGGGTCACACACTAACGAGAGTTCTGATCTTTACTAAAGGATTAATTGCTTTATTATTTGGTAATTAAATTAAAGAATTTAATTAGTCAAATAAATTTAGTTATTAGTCCAAATGAAATATTATTATATTCTTTGCTAGCACAAAGGATATAATTAATATTGTGAACAAATTGAAGTTTTCTATTTGGAATAGAAAATTAAATAATATATCTTGGTTGAAATAAATAATGGTATCATATATATATATTAATATTAAGTTGCATATATAATATGATTAGTTAGTTCTATAATCTAATTTATAATTGGATTAGAAAATAACGTGTGGCTTTCATGAAACCCATTTGAAATAGGATTAAGTTTTCCTACAGGAAAATAATAATCCAATTATGAATTGGATTAACAATTGAAAGTCCATAAGGACTAACCACGCCTGCCGAAAATTCTTTTGATTGGAATTGAAGTTTATCCTACGGCAAAAATCCTATTAATATTGTGAATTGGTTTTCACACTCATCATGCATATATGAAAGTGTTTATACCTTTACTATATAAAATAAAATTGTAAAGAATGAAAAAGATCCAATTATTATGTGAATTGGTTTTCACATTCATCATGCATATACCTTTACTATATAAGACAAAATTGTAAAGAAAGAAAAGGTCCAATTATTATGTAAATTGGTTTTCATACTCATCATGCATATATGGAATGTGATTGTACCTCTACTATATTGTAATGAAAGAAAAAAAAATTCTGTACTTGTTAAGAGAAGTCTGTTTTTTTGCCCAAACCGTATAGGAAAAAGTTGGCAACTTATATGTATAAATATCATTCAAAATAAAGTGTTAAGACACTTAATTTTTCGGGAGTGAGACAACAAGAGATATATTTGACAAAGTAATTACTTTCTTTGTCAAGAAGTTGGCTGGAAGTTTTGAGAAAAATTCCAGCACACAATTTATTCAATTTGTTCGCAGGTTTTAATTGATCAAAGAGTTGATAGCAAAGAATCGATCTCGGTGTGGATACGCATAGAGTCTTCGCACAATCGAAGAAAATTTTTGAAACGAGACTTTCTTCACCAGGTACGTCTTAGATCCGATCTTTGACATATAAATAAATTTAAACACGAAAAGTTCTGCCTAGGATTGTTATTATCTTTCGCTGCGTGTTACGAACACATATATGTAATCTAACATTGTTCTCTAAGGCTGAGATGCCAAATCCACCTTGTTGGTGGTCCTTCTCCTTTTTGCCGGCGGCAGGCGGTACGAACATCCTCCTATATCTTAAGGAGAGGCCGGTGGTGACCTCTCTAGGAGGTGTTGGTTCCGGGGATCCATTAGATAATATGAAGCTTGATTTTTGAGAAATAGGGTCTTTTCTTAAAAGGGTGAGGAAGATAACTAAAACTCAGAGAGGTTTAAAACTTAAATGCCTGAGAAGGGTGAGAAGACAAGAAACAAGGCTTCCTCCTCTTTTTATAGCAGTCCAAACGACGCAGCCCTAAGCGCCGATTACAATCGGGTGTGGCCACGTGTCAGTTGCATTAAACGGAAGCAATGTCAAGCTCGAGTACTTGAAAGGACGCCTGACAGGGATGTCACGTCTTTTTGCTTCACCCTTCCCAAGGAGCATTGAATTTAACTTGAAGGGAATAAAACCCAGGCACGTACTATTCTAGTAGATCGAGGGTATATCACGACCCTATGGCCATACGATGGTGATACTATTTGAACACCGTCTTTTTCTTCGCGAAAATGCTCTCTCGAGGATTGCAAAAAAAATTTCGAGGTCCGAAGGGGCATATCAAGACCAGTTCAAATTCGATGTGCCATAGTTTGCTACTAAAGGAATAAAAGAAAGGAATACAAAGTACTTTTTATTCAAACTTAGCAAGGGTAATTACAAACCGAGGCATATCCTTGAACGATAAAAACAAAATGGCAAGAAAAGCAATCAGGATAGCACAAACAAAAAGGCAAATGCATTTAACTTCTACACTGCGGCCATTGAAATTAGGGGTGCTTATCGGTGGATCGGGTATTTAATTACGTTTAACCGTTCGGCTTATCGGTTATCGAATTATAAATATAGTAATCCGTTAGCCATCTAATAAGATAATGGGCAGATTGGTATCGGATTAACGATTATCAGATGGTTTATCGGCTAAACCAAATAATTTTTTTTGAACAATCAACAAATCCTTTAACATAAGCATGCATTAACTCACCCAACACTTTTAATTAAAATATTAAACCTACTTTAGATCCACTAGAGCATGTAGATTTGGCCTTGAAGGAAGGCATGAATGAGGGGAGACCGGTCTAAGGGGGGGAGCCTCGAAAAGCACTGTTGAGAGTTACACGGGACTTGTCACTTTTAGCTTGACAGTAATTCTAAAAGCTACTGCATATTAGCACATTTTGATGTGATTATATTAAAATTTAAAAGATGTTTCTTCTTCCTTTATTGTAATTTGGAAATGGAGATTTTATGGTGCAGATGTGATGATAATAAGATAATTATTTTCGTGTTGTAATTTAAACAGCCAAATGCATAGTTCAAACTGTCTCGGTTAGTTTTTGAACAATGATGATCATCAGCATTGTTATCTACAAAGTTAATACTATGGCCCAGAGAGGAATTCAATTCATGTCCACTCATAATTCATGAAAAGCCAGAAATGACTGCCGTTAGGCATTAGCTACAAACATCAGGCAGTTCTATTATTCTATGTTACAATTTTGCACGCATTTACGACTGTTTTCGTTTAAAGAATGTTCAAATTCAACGGGTAGTATGTTGGCAACAATATCATCCAGTGTCTAAATTCTAAGCATAGTAAGATGACATGTCGATGCTTTCATACTAATTTCGGATTCAAATTCAAAACTCTGTCTTGTTAATCTAATTGTATTTTTGAAGAGTCTGTCTTCCAATCTAGTACATACAAAAATTACTAATAAGGGTAAAAATGTAAATATAAATTTTTTAACGGGTTAACAGTTTACCTGATAAGAAAATTGAGTAATCCGTCATCAAACTGTTAAGCTGTTAAGTATAAAATTTCAATTCATTCACCATTCATTACCCCGATAATCCGATACCAATAAGCCAATAAGTCATTGATTCGATTCGGTTAACAGTTTTGGTTCGATTTTGAACTGCCCTAATTGAAATGGCACCATCAATGGTCCCCACCCGGAGGGAAGGGAGACTGTGGATCTTGAGGTACGGTCCCAATTGAAGAAGGGTAGGAAGATGATGGGCCACCCCAAGAGTTCGAAGGGCCAGGACTCGAGCTAGGAGGTACTCCTTTGATGTCTTCCACTGAAAAGCCAGCAAATTCTACATCCTTCGGAAGTCCTCCCTCGGGTGCGTCCATATTAAGAGTGAGTTTGGCTTCCTCCATAGCTCGCCTTGGATTTTAATTTCTTTTTCCTAATCAAGGATCCCCGCACGGGCGCCCTCCAATGTTTTACGCCAGCTCTGATTGTAGCTTCAACTTATCAAGCTCAGGCCATGCTATCCTTCTCTCCCGGTAGCCTGTTCACCTCGACCTGTTGAGTATCGTTTGAGTCCTTCCATGACCCATGGGTCTGCTCAAGATATAATGCACGCAACTTGGCTCGAGCTAGGTTTTATGTCAGTGTTGCATCAACATCGACTTACTGGTTTGCTTGCTCTTCTTTCTCAGCTATAGATGCCTCCAAATTCTCGACCCTACAACTATGTGTTGTTCCCGTCTTCTCGATCTCCCTCTTCAGCTCCTTCAGATCATCCTTGGTCAAACGGGCTAATAGCTAGTAGGTTTCCTTGTCCGAGAGTGCCTCTACAAAACGAGCTTCCTAATCTTTAACATTATTTCTCAATCCTTCTATGGTTCTTTCATAAAAAGAGAACCTATCCTTGATCCGAATCGATATCAAGTTCGTCTGCACGAAAGCAATTTGACCTTACATACAAGTTAAGCAAAGAAGAAGAAAAAAGACAAGGCTGAAAACATTACCTGAAGGGTGCACTGAAGCACATAGTTTGCCAACATGGTTATGGATTGGGAAGATATCTCATGCATTTCTAAGGGAACTATTAACCCTTCTAGCCTCATCGTCCCTTCACCAGAACAGTTCAAGAGATTGATCTTTTTCAGTAACTTAATAAAAATCATACGGATACCGGCACTCGTCGAAGAACCGGTAAGGAGAGGGCATGGAGCTGAAGGATCTAGTAGGTGTAGGCAAGCCGGTCTTCCGGTGGGATCATCTTCAGTGATTCCTTTCCCCCGATCTATGTGTAGAATCTCGCTTCTCACTGGCTCAGAACAAGGGGGCTCCATACCCTCGTCCTATATCACTATGGGAGTAGTATCTTGGGGGTGCTCAATTTGAAGGGTAACTCGGAGAATACCTCGAACACCATCAGGCTTTTTATGAAAGTCCGACCTTGTTCTTTTTTTAGGAGGCCTACCAAAATGGGAGCTGGCGAGTCTGACCTTCTTTTTAAGGCAGACAACTGCTTGACCCTTTTCCTTGAGAAAATCAAAGGAAGCGGAGAGAAAGATTAACACTTATAGAGTAGCCTTCCTTAGAGGGATACGTAAAGAAGAAGAAGAAAAAATGACGCCAAAGCACGAAATCCTATGAACGTAAAAGTAAAACGTGCTTAACATGGTCCTTATCCCTCCATCCTGAAGCTTGCGATATGAATCTCCGTGACCTCTCCACTATCGGAGAGGCTGCCATGATATTTTTGACCCACTCCTTAATGTCTGAGATGCTCTCCGAGCTACCAGCGTGGCTAAAAAGAAGGTATAAGGAAAATCAAAAGAATGACTTTAAAAAAGGAGAGAAAAGAAAACTATAATCCAATCTAAAGGAAGGACTTACGTTTGTCATTCCAAGTCTCCAAAATAAGCCCGTCCTCGGGTTGAATCAACTACCAAGTAGGGACTGCAATATATCGGACGAACCAACCCCTGTCATGGTCATCCTCTGAGTTCACAAGAGTTCATGTGCCCCAACTCACCATCGTGATGATGCTCCCTCTAAATGGAGTTGGAGCGAAAAGGTTGTAAAAATTTCGAAAGAGAGAAGTCGACGTCAGCCACACTCACTAAAAAGCGAAAGTCGGTCACGAGCCTCTAGAAATTCGGCCCAACTTGACCCAAGCACATATAAAAATGGTGACAATAATCTAGGATCACGGGACCAATCGGGGGTTCGAATCCAAAGGTAAATGGATAAGCATACACTAAGGAAAAATCATGCTTGTGGCTGAAAATTCTTTTCGTTCGCTTGAGGGATGTGAACAGTGATACGGTCACCCCAGCGTCAGTCACATAGAATTAAGGGGAGATGTTCTTCATGAACAACATACTCTATTTTATCAACATTAGAACTCCCAAATTGTCCAGACGCTCATGCTTCAACGTCTCTATCGAAATCCAAGTGTTTGGGGAGAACCTCCAGGACCGAGGGCTCGGAACTTTGCTTCCCTTTCCCGCCTTTATGAGATTTGGAAGCTTTCTTCTTCTTCTTCCTCTTAGAAAGGGCAACAAAGTTAACGCCCCACAGAAGCAACACATACATGTAGGAACACATTTAGCTATAGGCGTAGAGAGAGATTGTCCTTCTAGGGAAGGTTTAAATCTTGGGAATCCAAGAGGATAGTGAAAGAGGAACTGAGAAACGAAGGAAAGAATCAAAGAGAGGATTACTGAAGCAAGAATGAAGATGATAAACGGAAGACTTCTAAACTAATGAGGAGGCCCACATCTTGGTATATATAGGCGGAAACTCTTCGTTTTATAACCGCCAAAATCGAGAAAGGTTTCTGTCATAAGTAGTCATTATTGCCTAGGGATCTATAATAGATGAAAGAACCAATAAAAGGCAGCCACGTGTCCTGGAACCTTATATATGGACTGTGCACCAGTTACGTCAATCATAAAAGCAACGCTATAATTGAAATTCCTTGTTAAAGAAGGACTCTAAGCANGGGGATTGACTATATTGGTAAAATTTACCTTTTCCACATGGCATGCTAAGAAAATTCCATGCGGCAAATAAGACTAGAAAATGGAGATAAATGAAGAGATGCTACCAGGTTCGACAACCCTTTGATCCAGAAGCTTTGGTATCATAGGGTCAAGTATTCGAAAAGATGAACGTATATATCCGGAGACCTTGTCAACCGCGCTTAGAAATTGTGGCCATCGGACATTACACTGAGGTTGTTACCATTATCAGTAATCTCATTCTCCACTACCCAATTCTCTGGCGTGCTGGCTTAAAGCTCGGAGCGGCAACGCCTCCCCTACGACTAGAAGTACCACTCCGGCACCTCGAGAGAGTGGAATTGAAAAATAGAAAAAACATTCACTAGAAAGTTATAAGTGATCTTTTTTATTTAACTTTGTTCTCAAGTTTTGTTCAGCATCGTAGAGATTGCTAGCACTGTAGCTGATACAACCAATCGAGGCTTGCTTCTAATAAGAAATTCTTTTAATCTTTTCCTTTACTTTATTTCATTCGTTATTTACAATTGTTGCTTTACAAGTTCGAATTTTGGATTAAATCGATTGCTAGAGGCCTAAACATATAAATTTAATTGTTTTTTCCAAAATCAGATTGTGGGTCAAACAAGTGTAACAATTTTTCAAAATTCTATTGTAATTTGAGAAATAGTTGCTAGGTGTTTTAGGGGCAATGGAGCTGGAGAATTTTTGTGAAGTTGAATTATTATAGGAGGAGGGTTTGTTTGGAATTGAAGGTAGCAGTAGAAAAGTGGTAATGCTGTGTGTGTGAGGGAGAGAGAGGGGGTAGGAAGAAAGTGGTGGAGAAGACCATAGATAATTGGTCAGGTAGGTTTTGATTAAATGGGGAGGATGTTTAAAAGGGGGATTTACATCTATATTCAGTTTTTGGATCACTATTGTACTCACTTTGCATAAAAATTTACATGTCAACCTACTTTAGGATAAAATTCAAACTTATCGGGTTTGAAGTTGAAAAAAATAATTTAGTCTGAAATGCAATGCACTTAAGGTCAATTAAGTCTAAAGTGTAAAAATTACACTTAAGATGCACTTAAGACCCAATAGATTTTAACTGTAACAAATATTTTCATACACTTAATGCCAAATAGGTCTGAAGTGAAAAAAATTACATTTAAGATGTACTTGAAGTCAAATAGGTCTGAAGTGCAAATTGCCCATAGACAGAAACTTGTTCTTCAAATTTCAGCAATTCAACACAGGATTTAACGCCTAAATCTACTCCAGATAAGCTTAAATTTGAAACATAACCTCCAAATATAATAAAGAACAAACCTCAGTCATCAATTTGTCAAAACAACAATAAATCTAATAAATTTATTTTGCAATTAAGAAGAAAAAGAAGAAATCTTAAGCAATAGCAAAGAAAGGAGCCACAACAGCTCACTAAAACCTGCTCATAAATACCATGTAAATACATCGTCACTTTTATTTTCACAGCCAAGAAGAAGAAGAAGAAGAAGAAAAAGGAGGTAGAAAAGACATGAAGTTGTCTATACTTTGGATACTAGTTAATTTTTTTTTAAAAGTGGATACAAGTTTAATGTAAGTGACCAAATAGGACGCCCAGTAAAATTTTTTTGTTTAAAATTGAGCCTTGGCCAGCCACGTGTCATTATAAAATTGAGATCGGGCTATTAAATAGGTGTGGACAAATATGATTGAAAGTATAATGGTAGAGATTCAAATATTCAAAAAGTAAAATAGAGGGTAGTTATGACTTGTTTTTAATATTGCAATAGTAAATGTGACCATTTCCATTTGTGATATCCAAATTGGTGTAAACAATAATTATGTTTTAGTTCAAACAAGTTGAGTCAGTTGTATGAATCTTTTTTTTCTCTTTTTAAGCTCAATTCATGTCATAATCATATCAAAGTAAATATAAAGTTAAATTAAAAAATAAATTAAGTATATATAATTGTAATAACAATAATATTAGAAGCTCTTTATTAACTTTAGAACCTATTCCTAACTAATAGGTATCATCTAAATGGATTTTTTTTCCAATTTAATGTATCCTATATTTGGCTAATTAGTCTGCATTAATTCCAAGAACTTATAGTTCTTTCAAGACATCTTCCTAAATTGATGTAAGATATATTTATATAATTAGGTCAATTAAACATAATTATATGTAATTTTATTTAATGCCATTGATTCTACTCAAGACTAGAGCAGATGGTATAGCAGGTTAACCTATATTGGCAGAGTAAAAAAATCATTACACTTTTGGTGGATATAACATAAGTCCCACCCAAATTATTTCTATATTAGTTTATAAATTATATTTTTTTGAAATAGAATGAGCTTGCAGCCTTTAAGTCCTTAACTTCATCTTACAAATTTCAATCTTCTAAAAAATTCCTTCATTATTTGCGGCTCATACCCCCTTCCGAACAACCCATATGCTTGTCTATGTGCTATTTTTCAACTATTAGTTAGAATCCACATATCCCTTTATCCTTTTCAGTCTAATTACATGGGGTGTTCTTTAGGGCTTACGGATTTTCCTTCAATTTTGCTGGAGGTCGTGTTTCTGTCTATAATTTTTGGTATTAGAGTTTTGGTGAGAGTGGGTATTCTATACATGTTTTCTTCATCTATTTGAAAGCCTTAAAATACCAAAAATCACAAGAATCTGAAAAATACAAGAAGAAACACCAAAGCGAAATATGCAGAACAAGCAGGCAAAGTGTAGGCATGACGTGCCTAAAGAGTGGTAAATATTTTTTTATTTGTTCATTTAAATCAAATATTCTGAGTTCGAATTTATAGAATGGAAAAAAATCTTACTAGGGATTATTTTCTCCTTTATTAAATCCTACGTAATATGAATTTGTATCAGTCGGTCCAGTAAGTTCAAATATCGAATAATTAGACAAACCAAAAAAAAAAATCCATCACAATCTCATTTAAGGCAATGTTCAACCTTCACTCCCCAAAGAGCAAGAAGACATCTTTCAAATGGGGTGTGTTTTGCATATATGAAAGCTACACTCTCTTACTCCAATAATTCAACAACCAAAGAATCAGAATCTCAGAGCTATATTAACCCATTCTTTTTTTTTTTTTTGGCCTCAGGGGTAGGACAAAAATTTACCACTACACATAAATATTTTTAAGTTACTATTTGTACAGTAAAAAAATTTTAGGGTACGTTAGGAAAATTGTATTTTTTTTTAAAAAAGAAGCTCTTTGCTCCCTCAAATTTAAATGTCATGTCAAACAGAGTATAGTGAGATTAGCCTATTACATATTTTTTTCCCAAACAAATTCTCCACCTTCTCTTTTACTAAAAATCTTCCCCTTACTATTCCTTTCTCCATGTCTTCCAAATATATAGTATTATATTATTTTGGTGCTCATCTTTTTAACTTCAATAAATATTTTAATGCTGAATTAAACATTAGATATTTATCGGATCAGATATTTATTTGAGTTTGGCACATCTTGTTCTACCAACGGACACAACCACTGGTTGTTGATTCGGTCGAATTCAATAGCTTTTATTCAAACTCTGTATTTTTATTAAAAAATTCAATAAATATATATAAATTATTACTTTAGAACCCAATAACTTAAAAGAATTATAGTCCCGAACCCATAATATTCAAATCCTAGCCCCGCCCTGTGTGTCTTAACACATTTTGTCAAACTGTTGGCTATGACAGATCATATCGTAATTCATTACCTATTTATGAAGATAGAAGCACATAGCGAATTTGATGTCTAAATTTTGATATACTTATATACTCCTATATATATGAGAAGTATGAACAGTTAACCTGAACGGTCTTATGGAAAGATTCTTACAACCACAAATAAGTTAAAGATGGTGTTATTATTTTATATTTTGGATTTAATTGACCCGTTGGTTTTTCCGCAACTAGAAGTATCTGAAGAAAAGAAGTTTAAATCTCATCATCCAGTAATCAAAACAAAACAACATGCATGCATATTGGATGTAACCGAGGCAGAAACTATAGTAATAAGATAAGATCAAGTTAAATACTACTATATTATTTATACATATATATTAAATCTTGAATATTCTTAGCCAAATTCCTGCATTCATCATTGCTTTATGTTACAAAATATTTTGACAATGCAAGCTGGGACACAACTTAATTGATGTAGGCATAATGATCTACTGTGCCAAAGCACTTGTGTTGTATACAAGTAGTGCACCTCCTGCAAGAATGCCAGCCAACGTGACAGCCCAAATGGCTAAGCCAGTGGTACCTGCAATTTTCAATTATACTGACTACATTATTTAGGAAAGAAATGAAAGCTTGGTTATTTTATTGTTAGAATTAAAAATATTAATAATAATAATTGAAGTCATACCGCCAACGTAGACATCGCCACTCGGGGACCATTCATCTGGGTTATAGATAGGACTGCATTTTAATCAAAGTATTTATATGAATTATTGCTTCATTTTTAGAGTAATCTATGGGGTATCATTATCTACTATTGGGAATATAATCAGAATCACCAACCTGTATCCGTCAACATTAGCTCCATATTTGTTCACGAATTGATAAACACCCTTTCCCTGCACATAGCCACCATTTTAATATGACTACATGTGATAGTAACTTTATTACTCCATATTTAGTAACTTTATTACTCCATAATAGTTTTTTCATCAATACGTAAAGATCTCATAAAGTTTTTCTACTTCTACACCATTCCTTTAATTACATAATCCTAACAATTGCTTTACATAAACAAATTAGTTTTCTACACAATCTTCTTGAAAATTCAGATATGATTTTCCTAATGATCATGTTAGATTTAAGTGTCAGCCAATGCTACCGGGAACTGAGGAAAACAAAAAAAGGGGGAGGGGGAGGTGCCATCGAACAAATGCAATCACCAAGAAACAGTGTCTATCTTTTTCAAAGACGCCTCGACTTGAGCTTTATTGGTTCTAAATGCTTTATTGGTTCTAAATTCTAGGGTAGCAGTAACATTAAGGGTTAGTAACTGTGTTTTGAATATAAATCTTTTTCGCATATTTAATGTTTCTTAATATAAATAAACAAAGTTATTGGGATTGACCGAGGTAACATTCTTGCTCCGTTTTCCCATGTGGTCACGATTTTTTATTAATTTAAAAGATAAAATGTGCATGAGATGTTATGTAGAGAAAGAGTGTCAAGTATAGGAACAAACCTTTGCCCTACGGCCGAGGCATCAACACCATCTTCCAAGTTCATGCCTCCATTAATTCCTAATTAATTTACACACCAATTGTCATATCAATCAGCAAAATATTTTTTTGCATAATATTCTAAGTATCTCTTTCAGATGTATTCACAGTAATCAAAAGGAAAAACCACACTGAAAGACTCTACCAAGGAAAATAAAAAATAAGAATCTATATATTGTAAAAGGACAGCCTAATCTAAAAGTCTAAAACGCTGGACAAAATGAAGAGTGAAAATGGAAACATGCAGGGCCAAATATACCAAAACTGTAGTTGATTGGGAATGTATCTGGTATGACAAAGCTCATTTTGCAAAAATAAAAAATAAAAAAAGAAAGAAAATTCAGCAATAAAGTCATTTTCGAGTGTTTAATTTCCTCGTAAGAGTAAGAGAGCAAATAACTTTCCTAAATGTCATTAATTACTCCAACTAGTATATATAGACATTTTAGTACCAAATATATTTTCCAAAAACGTCTAAAATAGTATTATCTCTGTTTTAATTTATGTGAACCTGTTTGATTGGGCACAAAATTTAAGAAAAAATGAATTTTTTTTGAAATTTGTGATCCTAAACAAATCAAAAAGGGTCCAAAATATTTGTGTAATTATAAAAGTTTCTTATTAGGGTAAAATTGTAAGTTTAAATAAAATTATTACCAAATTTAAAAAGGAATAATTCTTTTTAAAATAGACAAAAAAAATAGGTAGCTCACATAACTGGAACAAAGAGTATATTTTTCGTAAAAAATGATTTTCGTGCTGAACACACTAGAAGTTAGACAGACGGACCATAAGGCTTGTCGGTCTTGATCTTCTTGCCACCACTGGCCTCAACTCTGAAGCTGGAGGATGAAGACCTTCCTAGTGATGGCAGGCCACGCGCTGCTCTCTTTTCCACAGTGAAGGGAGAGGGCTTGAGACTAAATGAACTCCTCACCGCACTAACTGCCATCACTAATTACTTACTCTTCTTCTGCTGTTTCTACTCTTAGCTACTAAATGTTTCATCCAATTTGCTGCATGATCCTTTTAATAATATTTGTGAAAGGCCCCACAAATTGGTCTTCTTTTACACGTCGCATTTCTCCTGTCGATATCATATTACCAACATTATCAAAATTGCAATTTGTATAGCACTCTCTAACATCTTCTACAAACTTCTAGCTAGTTACCCGTCCTAAAGTAGTAGTCCACTTGGAACTCACTCATTGGTTGCCTTTAGGCACCTCCCTTTAATGGGGTAGAGAAAGTGATTGACCTATATTATCTCTTTCTTCGTCCACTCAAACTGAATATTTTTAAAAATAAACGTTTAAGAATTTTCAGAGTTAAATTATTGTACCTTACACTTTTTTTTACTAATTTTAGAGTAGTGCGTTACATGTGAATTTTCCATCTATCAATAAGAACATATATAGAATATAGAATAAAAATAAATTATGTATAGTAGCAATTGATTTCTAGGTAAATACAACATTCATTAAATAGAAAAATCAATATTACTACATTATGCAATAGTTAATTTAAAAGAACTTATTGCATGCAAATACGAAGAATTTAGGTAAGTTCGTTATATAGTATTTATAATTATGGATATTTATAAATAATAATATGTTATGTTGTTGTATCATATATCTAATATCTCTTTATAGACAATGTTTCTTGGTGTATGTTATTTGTTCTGTCATAATCAATAAACCTTTATTTATGAAATTGATATACCCCTTGAAAGTGCAACATATAGTTGTCCATGTGAGAAAATATGTTGTGGAAAGTACAATTCAACATTAGCCATGAATAGGCCGAAATGGTCTCGAGATGTAGGTCCCGGAATCCCAGCGACAAAGTCAAACTTCTTCTACAAACTTCTAGCTAGTTACCCGTCCTATAGTAGTAGTCCACTTGGAACTAACTCATTGGCTGTCTTTAGGCACTCCCCTTTAACGGGGTAGAGAAAGTGATTGACCTATATTATCGCTTTATTCGTCCACTCAAATTGAAAAAAATAATAAATAAACGTTTAAGAATTTTCGGAGTTAATTTATCATGCCACACACTTTTCTTTTAACTAATTTAAGAGTACGTGCATTGCACGTGAATTCTACGTCGATCAATAAAAAAGTATATAGAATATAGAATAAAAATGAATTATGTATAATAACAATTGATGTCGAAGTAAATACAACAATCATTCAAATAGAAAAGTCAATATTACTACATTCTGCAATAGTTAAATTTAAAGTAACTTACTGCATGCAAAGACGAAGACTTTAGGTAAGTTCGTTATATAGTATTTATAATTGTAACGATCCGACCGGTCGTTGTGAGCTTTAGCGTTCTGTTTAGTGGTTCGAGTTCTTGAGTGGCTTCATATTGTGTATTATGACTTGTGTGTATTTTTGATTGTTTTGGAATTTATTTGGATGAGTGATTCTCATTTTAGGAGCTTAAGTTGGAAATATAAACCGAGGTTTGATTTTTGTGAAAACGACTCCAGAACAGTGTTTTGATGGCTCTGATAGGTTCGTATTGTGCTTTTGGACTTGGGCGTATGCTCAGAATTAAATTCGAAAATCCCTAGGTTGATTTGGCACGTCTTGTTGAAAGTTGGCAATTTGAAGGTTTAGAAATTCCTTAGGTTTGACTATGGTTATCGGGTTCGAATTTTAATTTTGGGACTTAAAATAGGTTTGTTTTGCTATTTAGAACTTGTTTGTAAATTTTGGCATCATTTTGTGTTGATTTGATAGGAATCGGGCTCGTGGTTGTGTTTTTTTGAAGTTCTTAAGTTTTAATGTAAATTTCATGCATTTTTTATGTCTGATTCATGGTTCTGGATGTTATTTTGATATTTTGATTACGCGAGCGAGTTTGTATGATATTTTTAGACTTGTAAGGATGTTTGATTTGGAGCCCCGAGGGCTCGGATGAGTTTCAGATGCATTTTGGAGTGGTTGAAGAGTTTTAGTTTTGCTGGTTTTTGAACTGGTGCTGCAGGTCTCGCAAATGCAAGATTTTTTTCACATTTGCTAGGTGGAAGTTTGATTTGCGAAGATCACTGGGGTCTGACAAAAGATATGAAAATAAGACTAAAATCTATATTTAAGATAATAGATAACAAGTACCAAGAGGGTTGAAAGGCTTAGAAGCTAAACAAATTGAAGAAAATAAGTTTCATTGAATGTCGAAAAGTTGGAAGTGTTATAACATGTACTTTTGGGGTGATTCTAGGGTTATTAACATTATAAGGAGGTTATGTTATGAGTTATTTTAGTCGTATGATAGTCGTATATTATGTTTTGAAGTCAAGCGAGTTATGGAACAAAAGTTGGCAAAGCTCATCAGAAGTTACATTTATAAATGTGTTGAACATTATTAGGTCAAATGTAGCTGAGCTTTTCTCCAAATACACTTGAAATTATGGGATGATCAACCCTCAAAATTGAAGTTCTATGAGTCTAGTTTCTAACGCATTAAACCGTTCGTCGATACGATAGCCGAGTAAAAAGATATTCACATTTTCGTGAGACCGCGCAAGCAACTCCCAATGGGACCCACTTAGGCAGTGGACAACCCTTGAACATTTTAAAGGGGTTGGACGGCTCATTTTTGGTCATTTTCGAGATAGTTATCAAACTCTCTCAACACTTCCCTAGCAGTTCTACAAGGTTCCAAGTCGAATCTAAGGTGGTTTTACCTAAACCTAGCCTCAAAAGTTAGCCTAAGTGAAGAAGAGAGTCTCTATGGTGTTGTGATGTATTTAAGGGTGCTTGTAAGTTAAGAGAAGCTTTGCTTCGAGTTTTTTCTGATTATTTAAGGTATGTATAACACCCTATTTCTTGGGCTTAAGATTATCTATTAAGTTATTTGGATGAAGAATTACAAGATAGAACTTAAAGTTGTATAAGAAGCTGTTGTCTCTTTTTTGGACTATTTTGGAGTTGTGTATATGGCTTCATATGTATGGAAATCATGGGGAATAGCTTGGCTATAATGTTCTTATTGTTGTTATTCTTGTCAATATGTTGAGTATGTTGATGATGTTGTAAATATGAGAAGAAGCAACCACACAATACCTAGAAGTTGTCCATATTGTTATATCTTGTTAGGTTGTTTGATGTTACTTTTATGATGGATAAAAGGTTGGAATGTCATGTCAATATATATGTTTATATTTTGGACCTTTTGATGGTGTTGTAAGTATAGGGGGATGAGTAAAAGAGTTGGGATTTGGTTCCAATCCAAGCTTGCCGCTCGTCAGGTTAAATAGTAGTCTCGTTAGTGACATTTGTGCACTTGTTGTTATGTAGATTGATTGGTGTTGTTCGGCTGTCAGGTGTGTTGTGGTGCTGAAGGTATATAGTTGAAGGTTTTATGTGTTCTTGTTGTTTTGATGGACTTGGGTAAAGCAAGGAAAACATGGGAGATGCTGTCCATTTTAATATAAAATAAGCTTGTCATTCGTTGTACGATAGTTGCATCATTCGTAGCTTAACAATAGTATTATTACTATTTTTATATATTAAAGTGCGTCGAGATGAGTTCAACCTGGTCACTGGACAGACTGTGATAAGGTACATTAAGGCTATCCCTTCTTTCCTTTTGGCATGATCTTATGATACAAACGAAACGAGCAAACTTGGAACTTTCACAAATGATTCTATTCTTAGAAGTACTAGGGGTGCCTATGTTCTTGATTCCCCATGTGTCCTATTATTATATCGTTTGTTCATGGGTCTTAGAAAATACGTAAGTTGATAATGTTTTATTTTATGATATTAGCCGAATGCATATTGATCTTATGACATTTCAAGAGATCTTATATAATTACTTCTTTATGCATTGCATTCATTTATACATGTACATTGACCCATTATCAGATGGTGTTATATAAATGTAAATTATATGTATATGGGGTATGGGGAAAGGTTATGACACTATATACACACCACCGCCTGATCAACTAGTATACGTTGATGATTTCGCCCACTGAGGCCGATATGATATGATAGGATTCCTCAGAGGCTTGAGGATGTTATGTACGCATATACCTATGCATGATATTATATTTATACGCATATGTATGACACTATAAAAGCTTCATGATTCACTGAGCTATTTAGACTTACAGGTTGAGTCCTTTACTCCATGTTTCTTTCATGTCTTTTATGTACTGTTTTTCATGTCTTACATACTCGGTACTTTATTTGTACTGATGTCCCTTTTGCCTGGGGCCCTGGCCCGACCTTTATGAAGTTTATGTACTCTTAGATTCTTGTAGATAAATGGCATGTATATGGATGATTGTATGGCCTTGTCGGCCTATGTTTTGAGTGTATAAATGATCATTTCGGTCTTATAGGCCCGTATATCACGTGTATAAGTTTCTAGACCATGTTGGATTGTCCTATGTCTTGTGTTCTCTTATGTATAATTCTAGTTATCTTATGACGGCATTTTCGGCTCATTTACCCATAATAGTATGATAAGAAGAATACGTTACATTGGCACTTAGTTGAGTTAGGCACCAGGTGCTCGTCGCGTCCCTTTGGTTTGGGTCGTGACAGAAGCGGTATCAGAGCAGTTCTTTCCTAGGGAGTCTAGAAGTCGTGTCTAGTAGAGTCTTGTTTATGAGTGTATTGTGCACCACACTTATAAACAGGAGGCTACAGGGCATTTAGGACTGTAGTCTTTTTTGTGGTAGAGCTTAGTTGTAAGAATTCAAACTCCTAAATTCTATTTTATTCGTAATGTAACGATACCTACATCTATAAAGATAGTTGGTAAGAGATTAGATATGGTTGTGGAAGAATTGAGCCAGAGGAACTCGATTTTGCATCATGCTTATGATGAGTAAATGTGAGGTCTTCAGCAGATCATGTGTGTACTAAGACGTGTAAGTTTCTTGATAAGGAGTCCTAAGGCATAAATATCTAATCCACCTATATGGTAAAAAACAATAAGAGAATCAGAAGGTAAATACAAGTTTCAACAAGTAAAAGAAGCAA